GATGGGGGAGGGGGACGCTGGCTTTTACCCAAAAAGTCAAAAGCCGTTTTGTTAAAAAATTAAAATCCTAAAGAATGCATAACACGACCCTTGAGGTGGGTTGTTTTTGCTTTCGCTAACAGCCCTGGTGCCTTGGGGCAGCTGCTCCGTCACTCGCCTTGTTGCATACGATGTCTGACTCCAGATCTGCTGGAGGAAAAAAGAGTTTGAGAAATGGGTCTGAGCCCCCTCCCCTCTCCTCTCCCCCCAGGACCGCTGCTGGGCAGCTTCTAGTCTTCCAGCCCCTCGTGTTTTTCCACTCTTGGCCTCCCTCTTTGCAACCACGCAGGGCCCGAGGGGGCACCTAAGATGCGTTCTCCCCGTAGTGTGACCGGTCCGCATCAAAGGGCAGACTTCTTTAAGGCGGTTCTCCAGCAGGCAAATATCCATCCCAACGTTCTCCCGGTTGGAATTCTGCCTGCGGACTCTCTCTTTGGGGAGTTGAAAGCTGTACGAGAGAGACGGCCTCGCGTGGGATCCACGCACGCTCCTTCCGTCCCTCTGGCCAAAAAGGTCTTGCCTTTGAAGCCGAGAGAGACAGAAACTGCAAATCCAATTTAACAGAGGTGAAAAATAGACTGAGGCAACGAAGTGAAAGAATTCCCTTTGCTGCTCTCCGAATCACAGATTACATAACCACCCATGGCTACCCAATTGCATGTTTTTTTATTGTGAAAGGAGGATTAAATTATTAAATGCCTGGGGAGATCAGTCAACGTGCAGGGAGAAAATGCCACACGATGGAGAGCTCCCTTCTTGCAGCACTTTCCGTGGGTGCCTTTACTCATCTTTAGCAGCTCCTGGGCAGCCTCCCTTATCCGGGCTGGCCTCCGTACGTGGGACTTCAACTCCCAGAATTCCTAGCCAGCCCTCAGAGGCTTCTGGCTCTTGAGGTCCGCACACCGGAGACCACAGCCAAGAGAGCGTGCAAAGTGACCGCACACCTGCAGGGACATCCTTATGGACTTCCGTTCTGACATCTGACCCAGGTACACAAGCTGCGGGTTTGGCGTTGCAATGCCCATTTTGTGACAAGCCCCATCCCCACTCCTCTTTCTCCCCACTTCAAAGGAGTGACAGACTCCCTGCGCTGAGGACACTGCCTTAGAAGCCCCACTCTCCCTTTGCCTCCCACCGACCGCTCCTGGTGGATGCCACCACTACTCACGTGGACTGGTCAATGGGATTACCAATGTGGAGGGATGTAGCTGTAGGCAGGGGTCCCTTGCGCCCGGTATGTTGGCACTGAGACGGGATGTGCCCCCAGCGTGGTGTGTTGTGGGGTTGTCAGCAGAGTGCCTGTGATAGGGAAGGGAAAAGTTCAGAGGGGCTGCCGACAGAATCCATTGTTTTCCCTGAAGTGTGCAGCCTGGCTTGCTGGCTTGAGACACCTGCAAACCTCTCCAGCTGGCAGCTGTCCTGATAGAGGCACAGAGGGAGGACATCCGAACCGTGTGGTCAGTCTAGTCCAAAATCTGCTTTCTGGTCTTGCCTTAAAAGGTCTAACTTGAGAGCTACAGTGAAAGCCGTGGACAAGGTAAAACTCAGCACAGCTTCTGGGGCAGAAGAAAATCCTAGACCTTGTTTCAGACAGGTGGCGGAGAAGATCCAGTCTCTTGTCTCCATGGATAAAAATACACCCGTATCGGAACCAAACCGGCAGACTTTCCCTGGGCAAAAATAGCTGATAAAAGTGGTTGTTTTAGCTCTGCTCAACCATCCTATTGGTCTCAAGCATTTTCACCCAATTAGATAAGGCAATTAGAGACAATCGCGTGCATGCATGTTAGGGAATTTGTATCACCAAATGCTCTTCTCTTCCCCCTTCCCAACCTGCATGAAGAAGATTGCTGGCAACATTTCAGGGACTATCTTACCCCCCTCTCTGGGGACAGATGCTTTGGAATTTTCTCAGCATCCTTAAATTGACTCCAGACGGCCCATACGCAGGCTGAAATCCCAGCTAACTCTCTCCCACATGCTAAAGACCGCAGAAAGGAGCCTGCTCTGGGCTGCTCTTTTGGACAAAGTGGGGAAAGGCCCAGGGGGGCTCATTTGGATTCGTTTCCTTGGCAGAAGAACAGTCTGGCAGTGGGCCTCCCCCAGCTAAAGTATGGGCTCCGTGGGTCTACGCCCCACTCTCCATTTGTAGAGGCAATACATTTTGGCTAGCAGAAAAGCACCACAGCCAGCGAGGCGGGCAGGAAGGAGAACAAGGAAACCAGGATGGACAGAGGAACCCCTGGAAGGGAGAGCAGCGAGCAGGAGAGGGCACTAGGGGGAAAATGCCCCGTTTTGTCTCCTTCCAGTTTCAGGGAGGGAGAACACAACTCAGTCTTCCACTGTAGACAGACCACTCCCAAAGAACCTATTACTGAAATTGGACAAGAAAAGAGTTTTCAGGGTTTTTTCTTTCCTAAAAAAATGGAAAAAGGCTCAAGAATATGTCGGGTCAGTGTTTGCTAGGCTTAATTGACCTGCGGGGGATGACAAGGAGAAATGTCAAGAATGGGGGTGTCTGCAGGGTGTGGTCCAAAAGGTCAAGATGACCGCCACAACCACTAAGAAAAAGCACGGGTTGTTACTGACAACGGACGCAGCATTTTAGAAACTCAGTGATTTTTCTGGCCAGCCACAGGAAGGTGAACGAAGCCCGGCTCCCAACTCAGGGGGAAACGTTTCCGAAGCAGAGTTTGATGCAGTTTCGTGGCATCTCGGCCTCTGTGGCAGCCATCTCCAATTTGCTGCCTGCCCTATTTTTAATCTGCTCCTACAACTCCCCAGTCCCAAAAGCCAACCTGGCTGGGCAGGATGGGGACTGTAGTCCAGTGCATCTGGCTGAAAAGTGCTGTTTTATCACTGGGTTCCCAGAGGGGGTGCTGTCCTTTCACTCAGCCCTTACCTGCTGACATGGCCATGGTGGCCCCAGCTACCATCCCCATGGCCACACCGTTGGTCCTCGGAGCGGCTACTGGAGCTGGATAAATGGCCGACGGGATGCTGTTTGGCTGGACCACGGTGGTGTGGTGAATGACATGAGGCTGTGCCGCATAGACTGGCTGCGTGTAGTACGCTCCCTGTTT